AAAGGCGCCGTGCGGCGAGAAAAATCCTAATTACTAAATTCCTAATTCCTATCTAATGCGAAAAGGCAAAAAGCGAGAATTCCAAAAGGAAAGTCYGAAACTCTCAGAGCCATCGGGGCTCGACAAAATTCGAAAAAGATTCAAAAAAGAATTCAAAAAAGAACAAAGCAATTTCCCGCGCGATGCCCGCGCCCAAAAGATCGAGACCGAACGAAAGAAATGACGTCAACATTTACTAATCGCGCACGCAGTGGCGCGCCAGACATCCTTCCGACCAATCACTCGACYGGCCGTCCCAGGACACACCCAGCTCCGAACCCAGGCAGGTGAAAAAGGAGGCGACGAAAAAGGGACGAAAAAACGAGGACACTGATGCAATTCTCCACCAATCACGACTTCCCGTAATCGGCCCAATCTACCTAACTTAGGACCCCTCGTTGCAACCGCGCAGAAAAGTGCGCGTTGCAGAAAGTGGTGCGTCACATATGTGACGCCCAGGGGGTTCCAATATTAGCAAGCTCCTGCTTGCTTGTTGACGCGTATCGATTTCTCAGTGCAAACAGGGGGCGGGGGAGTAGACCTTAGACCTTAGGCGTTCCCGGGAAATGGGAGTCGGATTGTCGAGGGTGGAGGTGGCGGATGGTTTAAGGGAAGAGGGGGCATGAAGCGATTGATGGCGGGAGAGGCGAAATGAGGAAGGGTGGCGTAGTGGAAGGAGCGATGGATGCGGGGGAAACGAGGGACCTCATGAAGATGACGAAAGGCGGCGATATAGTCGGGATAAATGGTGGAGAGGGTCCGTTGCAGGGCGGCGCGAAAATCTTCATAATTTTCGCAGGCAGGAATAGTTCCAGACACAATACARTATATTTCTACATGGTTATATTCCCGCCAGTCTGCGTTAAGCAGGAGCACATGAAGGAGAAAAGAATCAACCACAGAGTGAGTAGTGACGTGTGGATAGACGGAGACTAAAAGGCGGGTAGCGTAGAGATGGTAGAAAAGGTGATGGGGGAAAGGACATCATCCATCGGGGAACGGAGGTTTATGGGGAAGGCGGGTGAGCATGAGGTAGTCACGGGGTCGGCGAGAGAACGACAGGGGACGAAGCCCGAACGCCGAGATCTTGATGTAGCCGAAGGGAGGATCGGGACGGGGAGCCGGAGGGAGCTAGCGATTCACTTCTTCTTCTTCTTTGGCTCCGTGATCCCTCTGCTGCGGTTCCATCGTCTTCCTCCCCTGGCGGCTCTGGATCACGCCACGGGTCCCCGATCGATGGATCGACAGAGAACACGTCTGTTGCAGGTCGCTTTCCCTCCGCGGTTTCCTGGCGCTTCCGTTTCCTCCGCTCTCGCGCTCGTTCTCGCGCCGCGTCACGCACTTCAGCCTCGAACCCTTTGCCCTCCGATACTGATAGCCCGCTTCCTTCTTCTTCTCCTGGTTCCACCCCTTCGTCTTTTACCGGCGGCTGGTCTGATTCGTCGACTATCYCTGCCTCTCTTTCYGGTACRTAGTCWGGATCRTTCTCTTCTTCATTCGATGGCTCTTCTTCTYCCTCTTCCTCGTCTGCTCCCCTTATCTCCTCGTCCTTTGGTACCTTGGCAGGTCGACGCAGATGTGTCAGCCCGTCCGCGTTGCCGTGTCGCTCTGTCCTTCGATGGACGATATCGAAGTCGTATTCTTGCAATCGCACCGCCCAACGGCCAATCATGCCCGTGTAGTTGGTGAGCTTCTTCAACGCCAGCAGAGGCTCGTGATCCGTTACGAGGCGAAACTTCTGTCTRTAGAGATACGGATGGAAGTGCTGGATTCCCCAAACTACCGCATAGCACTCGCCTTGGGGTGCGGAGTCGTTTCTTCGTTCGTCCGGTACGGTTCGAGACGCGTACTCGATGACGTGCTTTTGACCATCGTTCCCCTTCTGGGCTAAAATAGCGGAAATAGCTTTCGGTTGCCAGTCTGTGATGAGGATGAACTGTTTCGAGGGGTCCGGCCGAATCAGAATAGGGGCCGTTGCCAGAGCGTCTTTGAGGGTTGTAAAGGCCTGTTGGCACTCCGCGTCCCATCTGAGAGGCTAGTCTTTCCGTAACAGATTCGTTTGTGGTCGTGCAATCGCGGCAAAGCCCTTGATGAAGCGCCGGTAGTACGACACCAACCCCAAGAAGGCTCGAACCTGCGTTAGTGACGTGGGAACCGGGGCTTCCTTCACTGCCGCAACTTTTCTCGAGTCTGG